TATATATATATATATGTTACATATAGTGGTTAAAAACAGTAATTCTTTTATTGATTGAAACGAAAAAGAAAAAAGTGAGCTAAAAGAAAGTAAACAAAATGCAATTTTGTACTTAAAAAAGATATAGCTAAAAAAAATGCCACTTTTGGCAGATATTTTTTTGGTTCCTTTCATCCATCATATATTTTTTTCGCCAGTACTTTTCGCTCAAAATAAACATTAAATCATTCTTGTTGTAACCGATAATTGGTGTACAACAAAAGAAAAAACAATATTGTAACAGTAAACTAAAAAAGGAAAAAACGGATATACTTAATGAAAGCATCATTTAACATAATAGCAACATTTAGAAAGTTAAATTTAATTCACAGAAGAACAGAAGTGCTGTCTTCTGTCACCAAATACAATCATTAAATATTATTACCGATATATCAACATAAATAAATTATAACGAAAAAATCAGATTTTTTTGTTTGCAGATGTTGCCTACTGTAAACGAATGCACAATTATTCAAAACCGTACTAACGACACGAGTAGGAAAAAATATCAACAATTAATTAATTTTCTCCAAACAGTAACAAAAAAAAAAGCAGACAACCAAGACATATGTGATGTATAAATTAACAATAACAGCAATAAACAATAACGTTAATGTAAGTGCAATTTTTAAAAAAATAAGGGAAACTAGGAAAAACCGGAAAATGCATCTATGAATTTGTTATAAATCAATTAATCTCGTTCAAAAGTAACAAAAATATCTAGCTGGACTTTCACTTTTTCCATTTTAACAATAGCTAAACTTCACATTAATAAGCACCGAAAATAAAAGAAAGAAAGTAAGGAAGAAAATGCAACTAAAAAATCTATGATGGAATAACGGAACAGATCAGACTATGCTACAGGCCAAATAATTTGTCCGCTTGTATCGACACAGATCAGTTAGGCGGCAAATGTATCATCGATAACTTTCTTGCCCTCAGCTTCATGTATACTACCGATTGCTGTTGCATTCCAAGCCAGTTCCGGTCGACCACAGTATTTTAGCTAAATATCAGTAGTTGTTTATCAACGTAACTTCATATCATAGATATGTTTATAGTAAAATAAAGAAACCTGATTATTTACCTGGATACCTAACGCATTGTAAAAACGAGGTCGTACAAACGACCAAGCGCCAGAATTCCGAGCTTCCTCTTGCGACCAAACATACTCTACAACAGCGCTTTCAAACACTCAAACTTAAAACCAGAATTAGATTATAGATTCACTGACTAACGAAGCATAAAACTTAATAAACTGATTGTTCAGTCAAGCTGTCAGTCAGTATGCCTTCAAAGCTTAGGTTTAAGCTAACGTTGAGCATTTGGATATTTAAGCAAGGCTTCTCTAAGAGCTTCAACAGGAAATGGGCAAAGCGATTCAAGGCGGACAAATACAACATCGTCAATGTTCCGCTCTTCACGTGCTTTCATAAGCGTATAACAATGCTTCCCAGTCAAAAACACCACCTGAAAAAAATTAGAAAAGCTGAATAAGCCAGCAAGCTTTCAAAAACAACGTCTTTACAAAAGTAAAAAATGATTTAAAATTTTTGCCTTGTTAAAACAATAAGAAATGACATAAAAGATTCGGTAAGAAACTTGCTTTCTTGACTTTCTTGGCAGGTACACCGTCATCGGTAATCACTGGCTTGAAGTAAGTCCCTTCATCCATATCTGCTAAAGTACTGGCAGCCTAAAACAATTTTGATACTTTCTAGCAGAAAAATTATTAAGTAGCTTTATTAAGCTAATGGTAACATGTGTTAATTATGACGATGTCCAGTAAAACTTCTAATACAGCTGAGAAACGTTGTAAGTTTGATAGAACCTCTAAGAATTTCACTAAGTGTTCAGTAGCTTCTAACCCATCAATAAGCCTCAAAAAGTACTACTAAGACAAACTGAAATAGCGGTTTTTGTGAAGAAAAAATGCTTCAAAAACTTGCGGCACTTGTTTTGCCATATTAACTAGAAAACGAACCATGGGGTGTCGAAGAAGCACTTTTGGTCCTACCATAACGAGCGGTTTCCTGTACGGAGGCAAAACCTAAAATAAAACCGATTTAGACAGAAGTGAATTCACTAGAAACACTATACAACAAAGGCAATTTACAGTCGTGTACCTCTCAAAGTTCCTATGTTATGCAATTTGTACCTGTCTACGTAACAAATGGAAGTACTGCGCACTAGTTGTAGGATATGCAATACGCAAGTTGACCGATTCACCATCTGGTGGATTTTGTTCTTCACGGCTGTCACAAAGCTGGAGAAAACGTTCCATCCGACAGCTACTATGTTCAGGACCCATTCCGTCAATGCCATGAGGTAAAATGAGTAGAAGGCCTGTTTGAGTCAACCACTTACCTAAATTATTTTTATTAAAAGTATCAATTTCATATCTTGTGATCTCCCCACTCATTCTTGATAAAAACTTCACTTTCTGCTGAAGCAAGCAGCGTATCAATCATTATTTGTGCCCCATTAAAGAAATCTCCAAACTGAGCTTCCCATATGCATAAACGGCGAGGACTTTCTATGCTGAATCCAAATTCATAACCAAGAACAGCTTCTTCAGATAAGATACTATTTGCAACCTTAAAGAAATTTATTCAAGGCTAATAACATCAAAAACGTCGGT